GATGTTGAAGGAATAATCGATGTCATTCCTTTCTTTCTTTGAATAAGCACTTTCCCATATCCATTCAATCCTTAACTCCTATAGATCATAGAAGGCAAGCCACTCGAATTCATCTCTCCCTCACCGTATCTACAGCAAGCAAGAGAGCTACCGAAGCGATTCAGCTTAGCATTAGTAACAGAAATGGCACACGAAGCAGCTTCAGAGTTGCCCTAGTTGAAAGATCCATCAGCGGGTACGAGTTCGGTCCCTTGCTAGTGATGGACAAGCCTCGCTCACCGGTACTTTAGTTGGCCCGCTTGAAAGAGCATTCTTTGTTGAATTCATTCAAGCTGGAAGCTATCGATGCTCCTTTCTTTATGATGCCTAATCCTAAAGCTAGTGGAAATGAAAGCAAAGGCCCTTATTTGGTACTTAAAAGCAAGGTCTTTCTTGTTGACATTTACCTAGGATTGATTTGACTCTACTCAGGATTCATCTGCTTAAGCTTTTATAGAGTAGATGATGGATCTACTAGCTTCCGAATCCCTTGTCCTCGGCGTGGTACTCTGGATTGACTTAAAAGAACCGGCCCTTAGGAATATTTACGATTGCCCGATCCCTTTCGTCATAAGGGGGAGTAAGAGTTCGCAGCTTTAGGATGAAAATCTTTCCGGTGGATTTCCCTTGCTTCGGTTCGGGTTAGCCTGCTCTTTAGCTCTTCCCAAGATTCCCTTCTTGCTTCTTTGTCTCTTGAAGTGAATGGGAAGTCCCCTGTCGTTGCCTCGTAAGTTCGAGATCGAATTCCTTACTTCACTCCAATGCAAGAAGGAAAGCATTGAAAGCTAGAAGTCCCAAGCATTAGGGGACTAAGATGAATAGTAGGTGCTCTACGCGATAGACAGATAGATCGAATAGACAGAGCCTTGTCTATGTGATGCGGAATTGCTGTCAAGGCTTTCAATTAAGCTCGTTTCTTATACTCGCTTCAATAGGCAAGGGTCGATTCAAGTCCTTTGCCGTCTATTTCTTAAAAAGAAGAGTCATTTCTTCTCTATTTAATAAAGGTTCTTGTCTTTAGAGGCAAGGAAAACGAATACCGGCGCTTTAGAATGAGAGCGTCAGCCCTTCGTCAGTTCCCATTCCCTTTCTCAATAGCTATTCCGCAGCTGTAGGTATGATAGGACATTTCAGAGTCAGCCTTTTTACTATCACCGACAGCGACACCGCTTTCAATAGAAGCCTTTTTTAAGTTGATGTTGGTGTGCACTGGAGAGATTTGTGTGTCTCTCTCTGGCCTTCCATGGCGTTTTGGATTTTTCGCATATGTGCGCTTTATCCTTCTTATTGGTGATTCGACTAGTTCTGACTGACTTAGTCTTGGAGGTTATCCAGGGGGATAAGAGTAGGCGCGCTATCGACCTACGGCTTAGGCAGTTGATCGGATCAGATAGCCCTTCGGTCAAGCAAGCAAACTGCTGAAAGCCTTGTTCTTGCTTTTTAGGATAATGGCAGGTGCGCAGCGTCTTCCATCTCTTGACCCCGGATTCCTCTACTTATGAGATGATAGTACGTTCGGGATCGGATCTCCGTAAATCAATCAAGCTCTTGCTAATATCACTCCTGGTAGGAATAGAACTCTCAATTAGGAATAGTAACTATAGTAGTACCCCAGAACAGTCTTCTATTGCTTGGATATAGATCCCGGTTAGCAGCATCAGGAAGAAGATCGAATGAGAAATTCTTTAAATAAAGGCAAGGCACGTCACTTCTCTATATATTCAATTAGTAATTCGACTTTCACCGGGGAAAGAGAATCGTAAGCAGGAACGGAGTTTTAAACGGATATTGAGAAAGGGCACAAGGGCCTTTAGCCTTTCGTACTTTAATGCCACGAAAGCAGACACTACCCCTCGCTTTGGAAGGAATCTTTGACTTTACACCTATACTAAATCAAGTCCTAAAGGATGAGTGAATTAGAAAGCGGTCAAGTACGTTCCTACAAGGGATATCCCCGCTAGGCCAATACTTGAACCGAATCTCTAAGGACAGAGGAATTCAGGGGTTGACTAAGAAGAACTGCCTTTAAGGATCTTCCCTCTTCTTCTTCCTTCTTAATGTTATCACATTATGGGAGGCTAATTTCCTGTGTTTCCTTGTGAATGAATTCGCTTTAATTGATCGTTCGGCAGATTGTTATTTCACGCTGAAGGCATGGAATGCTCAGAGAGCTGGTGCTGCAGCTATACTGGTTGCGGATGACCGGGTCGAGCCTCTTATCACCATGGACACCCCAGAAGAAGCCGATGCACAGTCCAAATACGTGCAAAACATAAGCATCCCATCCGCGCTCATCCGCAAGGAACTTGGGGACCGGATCAAGAAGGAATTAGCCAAAGGAGAAATGGTCAACATAAATCTTGATTGGAGGGAAGCTCTACCACATCCCGATGAGCGCGTCGAGTACGAGTTCTGGACCACCAGCAATGATGAGTGCGGATCCAAGTGTGAAAGTCAGCTCAACTTTGTCAGGGATTTCAAAGGGGCTGCCCAGATTTTGGAGCAGAAAGGCTACACGCAGTTCACTCCGCATTATATAACTTGGTATTGCCCCCAGGCTTTTATCATGAGCCAGCAGTGCAAGTCGCAGTGCATCAACCATGGGCGGTATTGCGCTCCAGATCCAGAGCAGGACTTCAGCAGGGGATATGATGGCAAAGATGTTGTCCTGCAGAACCTTCGCCAAGCCTGCTTCTTTAAGTTGGCACAGGAGATTGGGAAGATCCTTTTCAGATAGACTCCGTCGGCTTTGAAGGAGGAAGTGCAAAAGCAACTGCCTCTTTCCCCTAGCTCTCCTACCTGAGATCTCCACTACCACTACTTGAAAGGACGGGCAATTGTCCGCTCGTCCTCCGCTACCGGAAAATAGGCCTCTCTAATCACATATTTGATGATGATACCGAATACGCTTTTTTCAAAAAAGAGAAGGTAAAGGCCAATTTCAGTTTAAAAAAGGGTTTTTTTTACATATATATATATAGAAAGTTCGGCGAATCGGCCGGCTGACGTTTCGTTGTTGCCTGTATAGCTTTCTAGAGCAGAGATGCCGTTGAATCCGTTTACGGAAGAGCTGCTATTGAATTGATTTCCGTAAGGGCTTTATGAAAAGGCGTAGCTGCTTTACGAGGACTTAGAAAAGCTTCGGCTTGTACTTTCATCGATCTTCCCTTGGATGGATTGCCTAAGAGTGCAGGGTATTCTATTGGCTTGATCACTTTATAAAGATCCTCAAGAAAACAGGCTTTCTAGCTATCATTTTATTCTCGCCTAGAGAGATCTAACTTCTTCCCCGCAGCTGTATTGAATGGAAGTAGGATTTTCCTGAAACAAGTTTGATCACTGGCTTACCCCGTAGAAGAAAGCTTAGTGCTATGCCCTCTATTTACAGGGGTACTCTCTTGCTTATCTTTCTCTTACCCTGGAGATTACAAAATAACAAAAAGGGGCGGGAACGGAACACTTACTATATCATACTTGTATCATAGAATATAGAATTGTTAATATCATGGATTCTCTCCTCTCCTTTCAGTCACTCTTTCTCCATTCCCGCCTCAAAAAGTTCTACACTGGCCTTTATACCATCCCCTCCCTCTCGTCAATGGTTGTTCAAGACTAAGAAAGCCTATCGGAAAGATCTCCTTTACTTCGGACCTTGAGCTCCTCTTTGGGAAGCGTCACGGGGAGAAATGCTTGACCAAGACCATCGATACTTAAGCGGGTCAAAGGGCTTACTTTCTATCCTTTCTTCTTCTAACTTAGGCTGAGGATGGATTAAGAAATACCGATAGCTCCTCCGCTACCTGCTCGAAATGAGATTGAAGTATCAACCTTTGCTGCCGATCCTAGAAAAGGACTGATCGCTAGGCGTAAATATTGGTATTGATTTGGCTGCTAGTTGAAAGCCTTAAGCGATGGGGTTTCACCGACGGCAGGAGTGATTGTAGTAGCATACCAACCGGGGTTTCCCTCTCTTCGTCTACAGGTTCAGTACCCGCTGCTCACATCACAACTCGACCCCTACCCCTAAAGTCTGGTAGAAAGTACGCTAGGTCGGGAAAGAAGCTGATATAAGTCCTCAACTCCGGTAGCCAATCAACTATGACATCAACTACCCGGCAAAGCATGAAGACGGAGAGGCAGCGAATATCCTTAGAAGGAAGACGTGATTCTATTTGGGATTCTTGGTCAGCAACTCTGGACCATACATAGAAGCCAGCAATGAGCTCAGGGCAAAAAGCGCCTAACTCTATCTTCATTACATCTACCCTCAACCTCGGCGCTAGCAGCAAGGGTCAAACCAAGAATAGGCAACCTTTGGCTTACCCAACCAGGGAATGGACCCATTCATGAATTCAATACATATTGATTGGCTTTGCGGGGTAGCTTAGTTAGATGAAAGTGGACCCTTCCAAACCTCCTTCTTGTTAATGGATTTATCCCATCACCTCTTATTATATGATGACTCTAATCTCATCTACAGCGACAGGTTTTCTACCCGCATAGGAGTTGGCTTTCTTCTTCCTCTTCAATTGCATCTAAGGAAGTGAGCTTCTGCGGGACATTCTTCATGACATGGATCCCATCGGCTGCTCTTTTAAAGATAGCCTTCGTAACCTTTCTAAAAACTGGCTTGCGGGAAGAGGTCGAAGTCAACGGCACAGACAACTCAATACCTGGAAAACAACCAAGTAACAAAATAAGGGTGGTCTACGATCAGACGATGAATCTCTTTATGTTGATTGATGAAAATCGGGAGTCAAAGCTATTGGAACAGTGTAGTTCAACCCCTTGCTAGGAATGTTGCTATGATGAGACATAATTTTTCTCTTATGAGAAAAAGATGTCACCTTTCTTTCTTTCGTTGGACGCACCCTTTCTCAGATCAAGACCTTGACTCACTCAGTTGATGGACCAGCGGCTCACGGAACCACATGAACGCATTGCATTTCCCATCACCCAGCACATTGATCGGGACACATCCACTAAAGTGGCTTTTGAACGAGACCTACCGGGCAGTTACTACTAAAAGAAAATGGGTGTACCCGGAACGGGGTTCCGATCTCTAAATGGATCTGCTATAGCTACTCGATCTCGATCAAATGGCTTTGGATCTGTCTCTACATCTGGAATATCTCTAACAGGATATGGAACTCCATATCGATCTGAAACTGGAAGGGACGCTATTGGTGCTATCGGTACTGCTCTCGTTATCATCGGCAACTGACCGCTTTCCCTCTCACTCATGCATTTCAAGGGTTCCATCTAGGGATCTATGCGTCGCTTAGGCTGGTTCAATGCCCCGGGAGGAAAAAGTATTCGCTGGTCTTCGCTTGTAGAGTTGCATCACAACGGCTCTCTCCTGCCACCTTCATGTGGAAGGATAATGAATAAGGTGAGATCAATTAAAGTAGATGCTGCTTCCCTGGCTTGATTCCAGCTTCTTGTGACAGAACCTGGTAAGCTGCTTTCTAATTACTGGACAACCATCATTGAGCACGTTGACTCTACATATGAATTTTTCTTTTTCGTTTTCTTGTTCGATTGTTGAAAGGTGGCTCAATGTAATTGACCTCTGCCATGCCTGATAATAGCGTAGCGTATAGTAGTCATAAGCAACTCAAAAAGCGGATTCTTTCTGTTTATCAGATAAAAAAACGAAACCAATGAGAATAGAATACGAAAGAACTGGAGAAGCAAGAGCGAATGCTTCGAGTAAGACCTGTTGTCCCTGCCTCTAACACTCGTTACCTAGGCTCTCTTCGTTCCGCAGCGCAGGCAGATTCCTATTGTACGCCAGTATCTCTTTCCGGTTGGTCATCAGTAGAATTCGATGAAAATTCCTCTGCTCAGAATCCTTCTCACGAAGAGAAGACAAAGACCCAGCAACAACAGAAACCACAGCTCTCTTCATAGAAGAAGGAGCCCAATTTCGAAGGGTTACTGACCTTAACAGACGAAAGGGGAGGTCAATGTAATCGAACGAAGTTCAGTCATAGAGGATAGTTATTCATAGAAAAATGAAATGCCTCTAAAGAACGAAAAAGAGGAGAAAGACCCCCAAGTAAGTAGAAGAGTCTAAAGAGGGGAGCAGTGTCTGTCATTTAGGGTTTCGGGTTGTAGGGACTTCGGGTGAGTTAACCGGAGATGTTTAGTAGGGGATGGTCTATCGATCAGCGACATCGGGCTTAATGTCTGCTTAGTGAACCTTCATTTAGGCTTTTCAGGTTTCCTGACGCGAACACGCCGCTGTAAGGCGAAGGGCGAATGGGATCTTTCAACATTGCAGCATGTTCTCCCAAGTGAGAAAATTGACGAGATTCGGGCAGTGCCTTGATTCCAGATTGCACGGATTCAAGGGGGGCAAGTCCAAGTGGCCGCTTCACGGTCAGTTCAGCGTACAAGCTACTCTGACGCGATACAACTCCAAATTCTTCTCCTAACTATAAGTGGATTTGGCGTCTTCGACTACCGGAAAGAGTCAGATTCTTCATATGGCTTTTATTCCGCTCAACAGAGCTCAGAATGAAGAAAAGGTATGTGTTAGAGCAACGCGGTCCGGTCAACGATAAGTCCATGCAGTCCTCCCGGACTCGTAGGAAAGTCCCTAGGGCAAAGAGCTAGACCAACGCAGAAAACCCGATGAATCTTTAGCTTTCGCTTATCTAGTAAACCCCAATCAGGCTTGGAGCTGAGGTGAAATTGAACAACTACCTTTAAAGCAGCTAAACATCTTTAGTAGGGACGGTGTATTGGACTCCACCCCCTTATTTCAATTCCTACTTATATACGAGAATCTTGATGCATACAATTTCAGATCTTTCTTCCTCTCCTTTTGAGCTCTTTGACTTCACTTCGCTTCGCTTCTAAAGTTGGGACATTTTTCTCGCTTTTTCGTCTTTTGTATTGTATATAAGGGGAGCTTACCAGGGAGGAGGAGGCACATAGGGCTTTTTCTTCTGAAGTTTCAAGGCTAACTTATCAAGTCCATAACCTGGGCAGGCATTCTTGCAGGGGGCACCAAGCCAGGGGAATCTCACTTTAAGAGTACGAGTCCCCGGATACTAAGCTTTATAGTCTGAAGTTGTCTGATGCTAATTCCAAATCTGCTTTCGTGGGACCTAAAGGCTTCGCTTCCTCCCAGAACTCAAGAAGCAACAACTCTACGAGCCTAGGGTTGGTGGTTGGGTAGGGCCAAAGAAAGTGAGCAGAAGCAGGCAAGGATGATGCTAAACTAGTTGCGGCTTGTGAGCGATGATACTTGTTTTAGCTAAGGAGTCAGATGTCGTATAAGTAGCTGATGAGCCCCCTTTCTTTCCAGGCGATAGTAGGCGATAGGAAGCCAATAGGGCAGGCAAGAGTGGCATAGGTCGCCATAACCAGCCAGATCAAGGAAGATCACATAGAATAGCTAAGGGGCGAGTCTTCTATTCTATATGGTTAGGGACTCCCCCACGGAAGAGCTCCGCTATCACCTAAAAGACTGCAATTAGCCTATCGGATAGAACTTTTCTGAGGATTTGCCTTTAGTAAATAATTTATGGATAAAAGATTTAAACGTTGGTAGGTCGGCTCACCGCTTTCTTTTGGTTTACAGGCTTTGTTACCGGACCGGCCGGTGTATAAAAAGGGGAAGTTTCTGGGTAGGTTTCCCGATTCAGGTAGATGCAGCTACAGACTTACTAGAGCTACTACGCATTCTAGAATTGGGGGAAGGAAAACTAAAAGAAGGCATAAAAAGGACTATCTGAATCTTTCTAAACTAGCAGAAGACATGAAAGTCACTAAACAGCGTTTTGAAACTATTCACTTTGGGCATAGAAAGGTTTCGGGTACCAAAGTGAGACAGTGATCCCTACGCCCTGAACTAATTGCCCGAGGGCCCACCTATGCTACTACCAAGCCCACTGCTGCCAAGCAAGGGAAAAATTGCTTTTTCTGATGGAAAAGAGTGAGTTGCCGGGGTAGGGGAATTCTCTTCCAAGCAGGCAAGTAGTCCACAGCTGGTGAGGGCCAGTCTTCCACCTTGGGGATTACACCCAAAAGCCTCAGCAATTGCTTTTCCTTATATTCTATTTATATCTTTATATTCGATTTATATCTTTATCACTTAAAGTCCTTCCCCATAGCGATCATGCCCCACTCCTTGCTCCATTCGCCCACATCCTCAGCCTGGTCAGGCAGGCTTACGCCGAGTTCTAAGTGAAATGCCTGAACTGGGGGAGGTTTCGTCGATAACTCAACCAACCCCTTTTCTTGCGCCTTATGAAGCTTGGCCTTCCTCTTCTTTACCCATTCTTCATTGTATTCTGCAACCTCTTATGCAAGAAGAGAAGAGGCCGAGAATAAATCGTGAATGAAATACCTCTATCATAATGGATTGACTCCGACAATGCTGGCTTTAGGTTAAGGTGCGAATTCTCTCTTTACTTACTGTACGAGTAAATTACTGCTCACTACTGCTTGTAACCTAGGCTGTAGACAAGGGCTTTCTTCTAATCTCACTACTCTCTGAAAGGGTCAAAATAGCACCAGTCTTCATACTTTTGCAATTGGATGTGCCCACTGGGTTTTAGAGAGAGCGTGAGATAATTAGTAGCTAGTCTAACTGCCTTTTATCTCAAAGCGATGACAGGATGTCAGGTCTAGTAAGGATAGTGTTTTGAGAATGTCTGCTTCTTCCGCGAATAGACTTTTAAGCTAAGAATAATTGCTTGGCCTTTGAAAGAGTGCTTTGGTTCTCTCAATACAGCTTATAGAGTTTGAAAGTTCCTTCTGTAATGAGCTTGAATCGTTCGTTGACTCGAAGTCTTATTAGCTTACTTTGTTAATCACGAGGGACAAAAGAGAGCTCCTTCCGGCTATACTATAGCTGGACAGTCTCGGTCTTAGTTCAGTTTGAATCCGAAGGAGAGGTTTAAAGATGCTCGACTAAAAGGAGAGGATCGATGTAATTGAGAAAGAAAAGAGTCTTTCTCTTTTACTGTTCGAAAGTGGCTTTATGCACTGGCTTACAACCTTATACCAGCTAGTCTTAGAGCGGGAGATTGAAAAGGCAGATTCGTGCAAAAGAGCTAACATCCGGTTTGTGAACAGACCGGCTTGGGACAGGCAGTTGCTTTGAATCGGATATGAGGTCAATTACATCGAGCCTAGGGAAGAATAAATCCTTGCTTGTGGGCTTCTGATTCTAATTCCTGGATGTGAACGAATCGGCTCTTCTTCTACCCCTTCTTACAACCTATTCTTCTGAAAGTCAAAAGGTAGGCATAACGGTAAATGGATTTAGGAGTGAAACGTGCTACCCCTCGTCAAGACTACTGGCCTGGGTCGTGTCTTCCTTCTTCCCAATAGTCTATATTAATATGAACCTCTTTCAATAGGTGGAATCGAGCACCACCTATTTCGTCTGATTCAACAAGTGATCATCCTATCCCGGACCTCTACTCTAGCCCGTCTTGTAGGAAATTAGATGTCGCCCTTTAAGCGGAAGGCATTAGACTGACGTCTTAACCCTAACACGCTAAAGGCATTCGCTGAGAGAGAACTAAACGCAAGCAACACGTTAGCCAGACTGACAGGACTCACGTCCTCTCGCGTCGACTTATGGTTGTTTATTAAAAATCGTTTAGCAAACTCACAGCATTATGAGAGATGAGGGATTTGTTTAGGTTAAGAACTCCCCCAGCCTCTTCAATAACCTCCTTATATGCCAGGGCTACTTATTCATTGGCGATGACTAAGTCATCTCCAAGAATAGCGTAGTCCCAGAATCTTTTCATTGGCTTTACTCGATAGGCCGCATGCCACACTAACATGTGATGTGTTAGCGCAAACAAGGGCCACGATGAGTAGAAACCGTCAGGCTGACCCAACGAACGAAGCAAAGCGAAGTGAAGGAAAGGAGAGGGAAGGTTCAATTGACGATACAAACGAAGCGCAGTGAAGTCATAGAAGCTTCTGATAATTTTTGTTTGCAAGGGCTTTTCTTCTGTAAGCCCCGGTAAAACTTTGTTCGACTTGCATGTGTAAAGCATGCCTTATTCAATGCCAGTATCCAATTTTTTTCTTCAATCACCTTATAGAAGATGACCGACCGGCTACAGGAGTTGCAGAGGCTCTCGAACTTTCTGTTATCACTATACGATGATTATTAAATTTTTATCTTGAGGGTCGATGTAATTGAGCTTAGAACTCTCTTCAAGCTTCTATGACTGAACTTCGCTTCGCTTCTAAGTTGGGTCGATAGCCCTTGATCCGAGTTTTCGCTTGAAATAAGCGCGGATTTACTTTTCTAATTTATAAAGGTGAAGGGAGCCAAACACGTAGTATCATTGTGTAAGTTGGCACCCCCTTACTTCGTTGTATGCAATTCATTTCATTGTTCAGATCAAGGCCCATCTATCTTAGGTACCCCACTTATACCTTAAAATATCATATATGCACCGCTGCTGATCCTTTGTCCCTTTCTAAATCCAGCTTTAACCGAGCATACGTCTGCCGCGGGAACAGGAAGAACGGAAATTTACTTTTATGTTGAAGTCTTTCCCGTTGGAAGGCTGGGGGGCGCCTTGCACGTCTTGGAAAAATCATGCTTTGTATCTTCAGTTATTGGCCCATGGTCCTCAGTGAGGAAAGGACCTAGAACTGAGAAGAGGGGACCTCTAGAAGAAGCCGAAGCAGAAGCGGAGATGGGGATTCCGCACGTAGTCAACTCATGCAAATCTGTAGGTTATTGCGAGCCCCATACCAAAGCCTGTCCATGATTCTCCGGATTCTATCGGCAATCATCCGTCCATCAGTCCAAAACCGAGTGAGCATCCGTATCCACGTCCGAATCCGTCACAACAGGCTCGATGAAATTGACCTAAGTCCAGAGACCTTTTCAGATGCCTGCCTTCACTAAAGAAAGGAGAAGACGAACTCCCGAAAGTATGCTTTCAGAGTTCCTTTTCAATAAAGAATTTTCCTGTGTTCAGTTAGTAGGAAACGAACCGGCCGTCTCCCCCAAAACTATGGAATGTGTTGACAATTCGTATGTGATGCCCGACCTGCCTATCTCTTTGGAAGGTGCTACGAGATTAACAATCCATCTCGAGGGCAATCTTTAAGGTGGAGAAGGAGGCTCGATGTAATTGACCTGATAGTAGTAATAGAGAGTTCTTCGTGGCTTAAACAGCTTTTATTTTGAGAGAACAAGCAACGGATTGAGCAACTAGCGCGAAAGCCGTTGCGCTAACGCGCATCCGTTTTCTTGCTGGGTAGAGCACTGCACAGCTTAAAGAGTGCATTTTTGACTAGGGGCTCATTTGAGAGGCTAGGGTAAAACCATGCCTATAACTAAGAAGTCGTAAACCCTGAGCCCTTTAAAGCGCTGGCTCAATGGAGTCTAGGTGAAATCCTTATTTGCCTCTAAATTACATCTATCCTCACTCAAATCCTTACGCCGAAGAAAGGAAAGAAGGTTGACAGAGTGGTGAAGGATGGAGGCGGATCAGTTGGAACGCGGGCTAGCCGGCCGGCACAAAGCTTAACCTGCATTTGTCTCAGCAGTATTCGCGATTTTCCTTTGCCTTTTTTATGACTTCACTGCGCTTCGAAAAGTTCGTTGGGTCCAGACTTGCGTCGGCTTTCTAGAATGGAATTCCATGATCCGCATCGATTTAATAGCCAATGCGCTCATATCTCGAATTGCACAGAACCCACTACCACTACCTTTTCGATAACAAAGNGCCCGCTTTTGCTCCGATGAAGGCGTTGGAATGGAAGTGCTGTTGATTGTACAGCTGGAACATAAGGCTGAAAAACGGGAGGTGCAGAAGTTGAAGAATTCTCAACTCCTTCAACTAAGCACCTAACCCCGACACAGTGACTTACAGGATAGGGATTATAGTTAGAAGACTGAAAGGGACTCCGTAGCTCGAACAAAGCGAAAGGAGAGCTATGAAACCTGACTTGACTGTAAAGGAGAGGGATGAGCGAGAACATTCGTTATTGACTTGACAGCTAGTGATGTGTAGAAAAAAGGCTTGGATCACATGCCTTCTTTTCGACCATAGCGATCAGAGTTCATCAGAGTAGCAGATCGGGCGATGGCAGCCAGTTCCTACTAGGCCAGCTACTACTACATCGAATCAACGAGGCGCGAGCTTTCTTGATTATCCACGAACAGGGTCGATTACATTGAGAGGATCGGATCCTATTCTCTTAATAATAACCTTTCCCAGTTAGGGCTAGGGCAAGCAAGCACAAAAGTGCAGTCAGCATAAGAGCGAACCATCTCAATAAGGGAAGAGCCGGGGCATCTTCACATACGACGCCATTTTCGGATCTGTCATTTCGGGCGGGTGGAGTGAAAAGAGAAGGCAATGAAAAGGACTTTCTAGCCGGCTCTTCTATCTACGCAAATGGAAGAGATGTATGCTCTCAAGCCGGTGCGGAGAAAAAGGCTGGCAGCTTTCCCGTCGCTTCCCTTACCTTACCTTCTAAGCCGATTTCGAAATGCGTTTACTTCCAAGCCCTTTCTGGCGGCTAGTGCCCCACCTTTCAAGTTGACAGATTCGTATTACTTCGAGATAACTGTCTGTCAGAGCCCCCATTCTCGAACTCCTAGAAAATGCCATTCCATCGGGTTACCACGCACACAAAAATCATTCACATTTGTCGTCATTTCAAATATCACCTTCACGGGTCCCCTCAACATCCTTAACGGCCGGCCTGGTTCATTAAGATGTTGAACTGAGACTTCTGTGGACAAGCTGCGCGACAGAGGCCAAATCCTTGAGCTCTTCTAATCCCCGAAGACGCTCTAATCCTTACAAGGCCATAGACTAACATCTCAAATAGAATTCTTACTCCATTACACAAAAAAGGCATCTGGTTGTAGGCGTAAATCCAAGACAAGGTGACAAAGTATTCGTATTCTCGCGATACCCACCTGCCACTCCTGTTTGAGAGTGATTCAATATCAATAGCCTAAGAAGGTGTTTCAAAGGGGAACCCCATCCCCGAGCTTTATACATTGTTTATACCATCGGTCTCTTGCTTTTTATATTTGAATCTGGTTTCTCTCTTCTTTGGTAGACAGACTCCATCCGGTCAAGGCTAAGAGGATCCCACTGACAAGAACAAAATGACTCAAAATCAACAAGAGATTGGTAAGGGTCAAGACCTTAGGCAGCTCGACGCATCTAGTTTCGGTCTTGCTAACGGGGATGTTGGCCTTCAGCGGGGAAGGGGACCCACAATTCCATTTGACCTAGACAGCCAGTCTATCAAGCAGTCTACTGATTCTTTGTCCATCTTTGGTATTCTGAAAGCTTATGGGGCATGTCGCCTCTTATTTCATCGTATATAAATAGAGTTTCATTGGACGGTTGATCGCTAGTCTTCATTGACACGATCACTTAACCCACAAAAACGTCCTATATACCCTTATCATCTTTCAATTGAATCGAGATTGGGTTAGTAAGGAAATTCAATTCACCAATCCAATCAATTTGATTTTTTTTAGTATGCTTTCAATACTTACCCTGACCCAGCCACTAAGCTCTAGCTTCGGCCGATCCTTCGTCATATGCTTAGTAAACTCTTGCTACGAAGCTACTTTTCTCTGACCCGAGGGTCCGAAGGAGGAATCATCTCACACTGGGACCGTTCATCCGGATCTGCCCGGTGGTGTACTCTAGAATTCCCCATCTTGGGGTTCGGACAGGAAATCCAATCAATCAGATCATTCAAGGTGCGTAGCCTTCTTCGATGTCCAATTCCTTCTTTTGAAATGTACTTTCACCTGCCCCTTTTCTATCAAAATAAAAATCCATATACATACTAAGCCACCCTTTAGACAATAAAAATGAATTTGAACTGACTCCTGCGTGACCTATTTACAGGATTCCATCCCTGCCCTTACTCGTTAATGAAAGTAGACACTTTTCCCAGTTAATCCGATAATAGAAGCTCTGGCCTATAAGCAGGAGATTCCAATCAAGAGAAAGAATCCTTTTACAGCAAAATCAGTGGAAACATCGTAAAATGCGAATATGTCTACTTCGCCTTCTTTGGGAAATCAAAAAGTAAGGGAAAGAGATCTCTAAATGCTAAATGATAGTCGTCTACTAGGCATAGGTTGAGATAAAGTGAGCTCTACCTCTGATAGGTATGGAAGCATAAATTAACTATATATCCAGCTACTCTTTTACATAAGAAATTCAACCTCAGGACAAGAATCCCTAGCATCTCGTGCAGATTCATTCCCACACGGAGGAGAATAAGAGCAGGTAGTGTTTCAAAGAACTCTTATTTCGGTGCTAGAAGGCTCAGATGCTCTTCATGTATATTCCTTAGAGCCCACATAGCCTATCAAGAATCCAAGCGAAGAAGAGTTAGTTCATAAAGAAAGAAGTCCTCGCTTGCTGGTCTCTGGTGAAAGAAGCTCGCTACTCTAGTTAGTCCTTTCCTTCCTAATTCATTCAAGCAGTAGGCTTTGAGAGGGAAACCCGAGGTTCGGACTTGAAAAGCAACTTCCGATGAGATAGAAGAATAAAAACATTTACTAGAGCCAGCGGGGAGGATGGCACTACTGGCAAAAATCGTCTGGCGAAAAGGCCGAAGGCGGGATGAATTAAGACAGGAGATCAAGAGCAAGAAGACACTTTATACTACTTTACTTTCAGGAGCTCTACGATCAAGCAATACTGCTAAGGAAGGGAGAAGGTTTAGGTCAATCAAAGACGATGAGTTCGGTAGGCAGACAGAAGATAAATCATACTTACCTTCATGCAACCCTGAAAGCAGCGCGGAGGTTGATCGAAAGTTCCATATTGTGGGATTATCCTTAAGATAGACCAATCATGAGCAGAACGAAGTAGTGCCTGTTTTCATTTTAGGCCTTAGGAATAGTGAGAGTTGAAATCAATGAATCAATAGCATTCCTTTAGAAAGGACAGAAGCTAGCTCATTCCTTTTTTGACTACAGATATCTTTCATGGGATAGGATAAAGATAGGTTAGCCCGGCGAATAGAAGAAGGAATGGGAATACCTTGCTTATGAGAAGAGAGGATTTGATTTTAGAACTCCTAACTCTTTGCCTTCTGTCTACCCTGGGATCTAAGATATGAAGGTCCGTGTGTCGACAACTCTTGATTAGGTTCCCTTTCTAAGGACAGGAATACATGGGAAGAGCTCTTCGTCAAAGAAATGATAGTGATAGGTGTGAGACTTCGGGTTTTCAAGAAAGATCTCACTCTATTAGAAGCTACAGGGAAAGTAACTCCTAAGACAAGAAGGAGCCACTAGTTCCTAAATAGAATCTACAGCCGGAATTACTAACTATAGGATAAATGCTTTTCAAAGAAACTCCCTCCTAAAGCCGGCTGTTCATTCGACGGGCCGTAAGCTAGTAATCCCGGGTCAAATGCTTTCTTAGAACTGATAGCTATAAGTAAACTTGATAGCAAGCATACCTAAGAGGCTCTATCAAAGGAACTTACTTCCTAGAATGACTTTTAGAGACCTACGAAAGTCTCCCTTTAAAGCCGTCGCTTAAACCGATCCTCACAGAACCAGGAATGAAGACAGGATGGGACAGAAATAGGAAATTGATTCCCAGGCCAGCTCAACTTAGAAGGGCAGTACCCGTGTACTCAACCAGAAATCTTAGTGCATTTAGCATATCATTTTTCTTTTTAATGTCGAGGAGGCCTTCGAGTCCAGTAGTCATTGATCCGCCCACACTAGTGTAGTATTTACAATTCGCTTGGGATAACCGCTAGTTACTATAAGAGAGTAGCAAGGGCAGAGCTGCTCCACCCGAACCATTCTTAAGACCACCAAGCAAATCTTTAAGGTTTGGTCTAGGCGAAGCTAATCGATTAATAAAGAGGGACAGCCTTTATTGATAGGATCCAACCCAAGCTACTATCTGGATTCAATTATTCCAATTTTCGTTATTCCATCAACCCGGGTAACCAACCGATAAAAGCAGGTATTTCGTTTTGCAACGGCGCATAAGCCTCCCTTCAACCAGCTAAGAAACCAAGGGAATAAGTAGAATTTGAGATAGGAATCGTAAGTAGGTGTCAAAAGAGTCGGCTATTGGGAATATATCTACCAGACTTGGTCTAGCTAAGCAAGCGAAAAGCTCAGTTCATTCCTTTGCTCTAAGATCGTCACTTACATCAACTACACTCGTCAAAGATCGAGAAAGAATAGGCCTATAATAGGGAAAAAGCAGAGACTAGGCTGCGAAGAGTTCAATTCTCATTCAAAGCAGCCAAACAACATTACAAAGTTAACAACGGAAGCATTGAAATCTACTAAAGAGTAGCAAACCAGTAACGGTTTCAAGCGGGAGTTCTTATGCCGGGTTTTCCGTAGCTTTCGAAGCGAGGGTCGAGACATGAAATGAAGAAAGATTCTATTGTGGGGAAGCGACTTCTACTCAAGCACGGGGGAAGACATCATCCGAAGAGCAGGGCGGGGATAAGCAAGGTTCGACGTAGTTGAGGAAAGAGAGAGATGGCTTTTATAGGATAGATAGTAGTGAGCCAGGAAAGTTGAAAGTTGGGATATCCACCAGGTTTTTAGGGATATCCGGCAAAGGACTTCACTGCAGAGATTTGGCGGTAGGCCCGCATCAACGTATAAATATTCTCCAACCTATTCATTCACAGGAAAGGACATTGTAGATCTTCCTGGGTGAGGTATAGTAGCTACTTTTTTTAGCCGGAGATTTGAATTAGAATTCGAAAGAGTAGAGCCAAAATCCTTTTCAATGAAAAAGGTGTAAGTTGACATAGAAGGTGTGGTTGATTCCATTTTACGGGAAATTCCATCTGATGTCTTATGAGCAATTCGATCATATAAGGTTTGGAACCCTGGCCTAAGAATCTTGATAATACTATATGGGATAGGTTAACTTGAACCGAAGTGAGCGAAGCTCTTTTCATTAGTAAGCGAATGTCCCAAGGTCGTATCACTGGGTAGAACTGCTCTAGTGAATGCAACGCAGCGGGGCTCAGGGATTCAGTTATCTCAATCATGACAATGAAGTGAAATGGCAACTGTGTAAAATCTGACTTGACGTGTCCGCCCCAGATCGCACAACAACAACTTTGTCTGCGCAACCTAGCGCGAGAAGGGTGCGTGGTGACGATGGGTATGTAGGTAAGACGGATATTCAAGTTTTTCAGCTGCGTGCTACTCTACCCGTTGGGAAGGCATCTTACCTTACTCAGGTAGCTAAAACCACAAGTGGTAATTGAGAATGATCCTATCTGTCTGTCCGCGGTGAATCACGGAATCTTGCGGGACGATTGTAGATATCCAAAGCCCAATGTAAGAACCAGCAAGCAACCTACTTACCTCATTTCTATGTTTCCAAAATTCCTCCTAGCCATTCATTACGGAATGGTTTCATAAACAGGTGCTTAAGCGAATAGTCTACTTTATTCAGTTCCATTAGGAATTTCGGGGAAAGTCAAAGAAGACAGCCAAGATCGAAAGAAAGAGTTTTCTGCGCTGTGGCATTTCGTAGTGTAGGAGGCAGTTGGTATAGTTTCTAGGTGGGCGCTTTGGTTCCAATAATTGTAGTTTCGAGACTTTCGTTTCTCATTCTTCCCAATCTCCCGGCACTCAAAGACATAACGGGGCCTTGCTTTGGCCCTTCAACCGATAGAAGTGGGTATATAATGCCTCGGGATAATAATGTATTTAGTGCGGCCAGCAGCCAATAATAATAATAGGATTCGACCCTGCAGTGGTAAAATCCCGGGTTGATACACCAGAAAGCCTACATGAGCAAGGAAATGGATAACCCGATGGAGAAGCTGCCGACCTGAGTAAAGTTGTAGTGATCCTTCCGGTTGGAAAGTCTCTCCTCTGAAGCAATACTATAAGAATCATCAAGCCAAGAGAGAATGGGAAAGCGAACCCAGAGTTCATGAATCTCAGGCAAAGACAAGAAGGCAGAAAAGCAGCCCAAAAGAGATGCCGCCCTATAGAAGGATCAAAAGAATGTACACTCCAAAAGAAGCTCTACGAATATGTTCTAACTAGCTAAAACTCCCTCTTAGTCTCTTTGTTGTGAAGGAGCTTATACCTAATAAAGGTAGGGCTCCTGAACGAGCTAAGAGAGCAAGAATTAGCTTCTGGAAAAGCACAAAAGGGATAAGGATCAGAGTCAGAGTGGAAGCTTTCCTAATAAGGAAAAGGGGTACTAATTGAGTAATCTCAAGTCAGTAAAGCCGGACAGGGAAGGGCTTTATTTTAACAACGAAAAATGGGTCTTACAGCCCAAGGAAAGAGGGCTTCCGGAGGATCAGTCCTTGGTTGCTTTGTCTGTTCATTGGATTGATGTCTGATAGCTTTTCCCTCTCCCCAACCGCTGTCGATCCAGCCGAACTTACTTCGATGTAAGATGGAGTTTCAGTCTTAGGGTAAGCAGCTCCGTACGCCATTCGGATATCAGCAGTTTCTGTCCTAAGGCAAGCCCCTGACGAGATAGGGGCGAGTAGTCACTTCCCTTATTTTTTACTGAACTTCGCTTCGAAAAGTTCGTTGGGTCTTACCTTCTTTGGCCGCATTCTTGTCTTGGCCATGGGATCCCCCCCGAGACCTTTTCTTATGCGCTCCCGCATATTTGTAGCAACTTGGCTTGAGGTGAGGTGTGCCATCCGTTTCGACGGTCTCTGAAAGCGTCCTTCCTGCTTCCTGGGAGCTCCTAGTCTAGTCTATCTCTTTTTTCTCGACTTCCTTCACTTCACTTCGCTTCGCTTCGTTCGTTCCCTTCGCTCCAAGCTTGAAGACAAGGTAGCCCAGAGTAAGGTATCGAGAGCTCACCCACTGCGGACGCTGACCCTAAAGGGTAGCTGAATGTCCGAGGTGGGTTCCCTCTCTTGTTTCGAATAAAGGAAGGCGCGATGATAATTGCCCTCGAGCGAGCTTGCTTGCTTGGTTTATCACGGTAGGTATGCTTAGCTACACCGTGCCTGGACTGGTACTTGAATGCGAGTATCGGGTATCGAGCTATCACTTATAGTAGTGTTCGAGAACACCTTCGATCTACGAGTTACCTAGCTAGCTCAATCCTATGCCCCGGCAGGCCGCGAGTCTCAAGGAGTACCGAGTTGTACCCAAGGAGTTCGGGCAGGTGTTTGGCACACCGGTAAGATTGGGAGTACGATCGGAGGCCACAAGAAGCCGGACACCAAGGATATCTTGCCTACCAAGGCCCTGGACTACTGCCCGAAATGACGGACCTTTCACTGTACCAGCTACCATACCGGAAGCTGAAGTGAAGGAACAGTACCCATAATCTGGCAATCTCCTTTGACCCAGCTAAGATGAGTATCGGGTCTGCGACCACTCCGTTGGCTCCATACCCTATACACTACTCGCGCCATTACGTGAATACAGCCCGAGCGGACAGGTTAATCCCTGGCACGAAGGCGAGGAAGAACGTGAACCGAAGAAAACTGACCGATACGCAAGGGAAGTTTTCTGTTCACTGGTTAAAATGTTTAAGACTGGTGCGAGTATAGGGGAGGAAGAATGGAAGGGAGCGCTCGTCGAAGGAAATCCGGAGAACGAGAGAGAAAGTAGATTAGAAAGCGTTAACATATCAGACCAAGGTTTTGAACAGAACTCCTGGAGGCTCGATAGTTTTGACCTAAGGCTTAAAATGACCAGGTCCCCACCACACTGAATGATGAACTTTGGGCCTCCAGGCTCGATGTAATTGACCTGAATTACATTTGTCTGGGCGAGAAGGGACTGTGACTCTTAGTCTATTCTCGTCATGATCGATTCACGTCCCCAGGTCTGACGTATTTGCCGAGAACCAAAGCTAGCAACCTAAGTCTTTGGAAAGGAGAGGAACGAAGACTTTAAAGGAAAGAACTAGAACCTTTGGCGTGCCGAACTTCGGTTACAACACTCTTTCCCTCCGATCTGGGGGCTAGCTTTGCTTGCTTCCTCGGGAAAAGGAGAGGGAACGAACGAAGCGAAGTGAAGGAAAAAAGAGATGTAGTAGGGAGAGGAGAGAACACTTCTGGCCCTATACTTCACTCCCCCATAGACCTAAATGCAAGCACTTCATACTGGAAATAGAAAAGATGTCCACATGAGGGAATAGGTTAGATCGCGAGGGATTGCTCTTATGCCCCAGGAGTGGAATATAGGTATCCTTTCACCCCGAACACAACTACCAGTCTGGAACAAAGTCCAAGAGCAAATCCAGTGGCATTTTCATCAAGGAATTGCAGCACAAGCTTACCAGACTAAGCAGTCGCTACTCCCTGCTATGAGAACTAGGGTACTTTAGAAGCGAAGTGAAGTCGACGATTTGGTTAGACCGAGGCAATAGGCGATGCTGATTGCTAGGGCGACTGAAATCCGCCTTTCCCTTTTTGGTATCAACTCAAGTTTCTTTCTGAACGACCTGCTTCAAGTGAGAAAGTTCACGCCGGCCTAGTAGCGAAAGTTATCAAATGTTTTTCCTTTCCGTTTTATATAGATGCAAAATCTATCCACTCGATTTCCCTTCCCCCTTAGCGTCCTCTCCCGCAGGTCGAGACCTTAGCGGCCTCTCTTTTCTCCCTTCATCCTACTCAGGCGCAACACCATTATACATTATTCGCGCCTCCCTAGCGAATCCGTGGACTCCATCTCTGCAAAAGCCCAAGGTCACCACCTAAGATCGGCACTTTGGACTCGTTTTTTGTCCTGGCAGAGCGCACATCCAGTCGGAGATGCATTCTCTGATATTGGCAGATATAGAGCTGGCACCAGGTTTTTCCTCATCAACAATGGGTTCTATTGCTTAACCAAGAGCCAAATGAGTTGGAGAGGAACCAGCTATCTTGTATAGTATAAGAAAGATCCGCCCGAGATCGATAGAATTTAAAGACCAGCCCAGGCAGAAGCAAAGCCGGACCATATAAAGCAACTCCATAGGGTCGATGTAATTGAGAACTATGCCTAATCGAAGATACATTGTTCTATTTTTGTCGGACTACTAATTTGACTTCACTTCGCTTCGAAAAGTTTGTAGGGTCGAGGCCATTCCTGGACCTTCAACAGGCAGTCTCACGGTCGGAGCAAGGTGCCATCGGACCTTCGGACCTCCACTGTTCATCGGGTCGTACAGTGCACATTTAATTGATTCGACGTGCGCATTTAATGCGTCAGGCTACCCTACGAGTGACGGACTGACTAACTGTCACGTTAGGTGGCGGAGACGTGATCTCCCATCATTAAGTTGCAAGTGGCCTTTATTTTATTTACTTTCTACTCAGCCAATCAGCCAGCTCGGGTCAATGCCCACGTCTTGATTCTCGACTTCTGTTGTCTCTCTCGGCTTAGCCCTTTAGGGCCTGATGACCGCCCTGCGTATCCAGCTCGGCTCTCTGAATGCAGACCGCCCGTCTTCTCTCCCTCGTGGGCCCATAGTAAATTCGGGGTCAACATACAGGCCCCCGAGCTCGGACATGTCGCGGCCAGCGGCTTTTCCGAGCTCGTATTCCAGACTCGCTTCCTTCTTGACTTCACTTCGCTTCGAAAAGTTTGTATTGTCACCTTAGCTGCTACCTAGTCTTTCTTTCTTCTAGATATCCACAGGAGACCAGACCCGTCTGAACCTAGCCTCCCATCTTAAAAGACTGGATTTCTTGTTTACCGACAAATGCCAACCTAGCTTCTTTTTACGTGCACCCTGTTCCTATCTTGTAAGCTTCAAAATTCCCACTTCTTTATGTCTGAGAAAGCACCCCTAATGGAATCAAGTCTATCTGCTCTGTCGCTGCTTCTTCTTCTCTTGGGAGAGATCCTGATCTTTTTCTTACGCAACGCAATTCTTATTGTGTTTGGTATTCTCGTCTTTCCGCAACAACTGCCGTCGTAGGCTGAGGTGAGGGGCGAGAGGGGATAGACGGAGAGGAATACTGGCGAATGTGATCATTAGTCTTTATTACTGCTACACATCCCGGGTCTAGAGGACTTCTTGTTCAAGAGGGCAGAATAGACAAATTGTTTTGTAAAGACTCTTCGAATGTGAGGCATTCCCTATTATTCGACATCAGCTACAGCACCTTACTCGACGGACCTATCTAATCTTGGGGTAGAGTTGTATGATTCTACTAATTCCGAGAAGAGAGATATGCGAGTCTACCCGGGTGAAGTTATCCTACTGGGTAAGAAGCCAATCTCACGTCGAAGGATGTAATAAAGCAGCCCACTTCGGACTCGCTCACAGGAGAAGCACTGACCTTCTCTTTTCTCTTATCCCTCTCGAGTTCGAGAAGATTAAGTAAGGGCGAGCTCTTACTTCCGGTCCTGCCAACGGCGATGAGTTCCAATGTTAGTTCAACGGTTAGATGCGTCTGCCCTTTTTCCTGGTCAAAACTATCGAGCCTTGTATGTTAGTACTTTCGTATTTCCTGTTATTCTACGATCGGAAAAGAGGTAAGAGGAGTGAAGTGAGAAGGATGGTATTTACTGAGTTTGAGCTTTCACTTGAGTACTTCTTCGTTGGATTCTATCTTACTTCGCTCGCTTCGCTTTCTAAGAAGCTACTTTAGCAACAACGGCTTAAGGATTTAGGCTGCACCGTTCGCTCACTTACCTGCTTAATAACAACTAGCAAGACCGTCGGGTGATATCCTTCCTTTGATGCTTGGCTCTGGACTGGGAACAACCCGGATAAGACTTCAAAGTTAAAGGGCAGTAAGCGAGGGTTATTGGTTTTGAGGATGGGATCGATCTTCCCTTAGTCTGATTCATGGTATTCCGGCATTCCTCTTCCTTCGTTGGATTGAAACTGAGTTTGGTAGTACCAGACTTATCCTTCTATCGACGTACAGGCTTAAGAGCTAGAAGAACAGCTTTGACAGCCGGAGAAGAGCGGGACTGAAACCGGCTAACTGCCATGAAAGCGCATTAGCTGCAATTATCCTTCTAAGAGCGGCATTCTGAGCTTTATTCTAAGCAGGAATTATCCCTCGCTTCCACAAGCTTCACTTCCTTTGATGGCAACTTCGCTTGAGGCTGATTTTCAATTCATAAAGTCTCTCAGAGCAACAAGCTGCACCGTCGAAGACGCTGCTCTCTTTGGCCTTCCCTCATCCTTCACTTCCTTTCCTGAGTCATCGTTTGCTAGTACCAGAGTAGGATCAAAATCACAAGAATATGGAGAAGGTTTTTCCAGTCGAGCAAAGTTCATCTGCGGTCACTAAATCAGGCTGCTCTAACTGCTCCTCCTAAGGCTTCTATTTTTTCTGCTAATTAGTAATTATATAAGCAACTACTAGTTATGGGGGGGGCAGTAACTATATGTTTAACACATGGCATGGTGTAGCGAGGCGAGAACCAGTTTCCATCGAGTGAAAAGCTGCCATCCACAAAGCGGCTGGCTTGAGAGTGAATGGTGACCGCTATTGAACGTGAACTAGAACGGGTGGCTCGATATAATTGACCTTTGTCCCAACACTATCACTCTGGTCTCCTACTTACCTTTTGGAGTAGGATTGTAGCTGCTAATGAACAGACTTACTCGTGACGCCTTCCTCCAGTTGTCTCTTTGGCATTTATCCCAGGAGTGAAAAGAAAACCTTCATCCAGCCGCTGGCTTTAGGCTTGACAGGCAATGGTGACTACTGCTTAGATCAGAGGGACACTCGGATACTGCTAGCTTGGCGAAAAGATGCAGAGTTAGCACTACCTTGGGGTTACCTTCTTATGTTCTCTTACACGTCTGTAGGTCTTTAAATATTCTGTTACACTGTAACTCAGTCTCGTGAGTTAAGATAAGAAGGTGTGATATTTAGTTGTAACATAACATAAGGCCACACCCTTCACTTTTGCCTCTTCCTTATTCTCAGTCAGATAGCCTGCCAGCATAATACCGACAGTTTGTCCCTCTACCCAACGAAGCGAAGCGCAGTGAAGTCCTGGTGTAATTGAGATTCTTAACAGGTTAAGGCGCCATCTATCACAGGGTGCCTTTAGGTAGTATTGAGGGAGGGGGAAGTGAGACTCTAAAAACGAAGCGAAGCGAAGTGGTAGAACTTTTCGAAACGAAGTTCAGTCATAGAAAGATAAACAGGGCATTCGTCGTAAGCCCTTTCCTTTTCATATGCTGCTTACCCGGGCTTGGTGGTAAGGGAATGGGTTAAGCCAGCTCGTGCCTTTCGGTCTTATTGTGTTTAGTGACCCGAGTGAGGGGATGCGAACTCCCACACCCTTAGCCAGTACCAGCGACTAGTCTTCTGGCTACGAGGTATATAGGGCTCTCCTCGGGAAAAAACAGACTGACTCCTTAGCTCAGAAAGAATCTATTGGTCATGGCCTAACGGCCACAGCAGCCTAAACTGCGTTCCTTGTTGCGCGAATGCTTGACACCTCATGCTAGGTCTTTTCTCCGATCTTGCACACCCCTAGCTCATTTCGGGCATTCTTCCACCACTGAAACATCGATCTCTTCTCGGGCGATGGCACATTCCGCCTATCCGCACTAACATTCGGAACTTTCTTACATTACGGCATATCGCTCACATTCCATTTTGGACTACTTCTTGGTCATTCTCCGCCAGGGCGGGGCAGTTCGATGGCACAAAAACAAAAGGCAAGAGTCCTCACTCTGGCCAAACATTCCCACTGGTCGGAATGACATATGTAAGCACACTCCCTCAAGCACTCCTGCGTGATCGATCAGAGACACCGACACCATTCAATCACCCCTGCGCTCAAAAAAAGTAGACCCCGGCGTACACATTCCCTGTCAGTCATTCGGAGATGTTAAGGGTGTATTTTTTTTTTATCCCTAAGGGAGATTGTTAACTAGTTATGAGGGAAGGGATCTCTTAGTTCCAGTAGCACCGTTAGAAACTTGACTAAAGCATCCTTAGCTAAAGGAACGATTACCGGAAAGTAGCACACAACCTCGCTCTGTGTAAGCCGATNAACAGACGATTCTTCGCTTTTTCTTTATTTTCCAACAGTATGGCGATATTCTGCCTCTTCCATCCGTATTTCCAGTTCCTTAATCAACTCTGAGCGTACTTTTTTCTTAGCATCCTCTTTCTGTTTTTGCTGCTGCAGGAAGAAGCTTTTTTTTTGCCTTTACTCGAGTGGGAATGGTGTCTAGTTACTGCTGCAAAGGCAGATAAAAAAACCAAGGAAAGAATCCCTAACAACAACCGATTTCCTAAGACTTTTTAGAAAGAGTTAATGTGCCAAACAAAACCCGGTAAAGATAGGCATTTTGCGGATTTTCTTCCGGGGTGTATCTTCTACAAACTTCTAAAACACTAGCAAGGGAAGATACCGAGTTTGATACCAAAGGGCATAAGCTGGTGGCAGGATTGGGAATGAAAATAGGGATATCGGTACCGGGGATAGAAGATCTTCTCCAGCAGATAGAAGTCTAGTTCTGTTCCAGCTACTAAAGCTACCACTGTAGCAACTAGAGCTACAACCACATCAGCATCAAAAGCTATACTAGTGACTTTAGCTACATAAACTAAAAGAGCACTACTTCCTGCGAGTGGGAATGAACGGATTTGCAAGAGAGAGACCGTTACTCCTTTTGCAGGCAGAGAGGGTACCTTACCGGATTTATTATAGAATAGTTGTAAAAAAACCATAGTTGAAAAGAATAGGAATCGGCAAAGTCTTTCAAACTAGCAAACTAGAAGGAAACCCGTGTACCCTTTTACAACTACGGGGACTACGGGGGAGGTGTATGATTGACTCTTTTTCACTTCCGTCCATTGAAACACTCTTGATTCATCACCGGTAACCCCCGGTGAATGCTGTGCCTTTCTGCTTTGCAACCAACTTATTTAGGAGTTCCTTGCTTTTAGCTTTATCCCCTGGCATTACTCAAATCACAACTAGACAGTGCACGGGGCACAACCCAACAAACCTAATAAATAAATTACCTTGTGGTATCTTCTTTCACTACCCCTCACTTCAATAGTTCCCCGAGGGATATCAAAAAAAGGGTTAAGGGATATGGCAACTTATTGAATGTGTTCAACAAACTCCTTCACGTCGATCTCTTTTAATTCGGTTACTTGCTTCACCGGCTGCTAATCTTCATATACTGGAGTGTGGTGGTAGTTGAGTTCTGTTCCTTGCCTACTCTTGCACACAAAGAGGAAGCACTGACTTCAAGTGTTCACTCCTTTTCACTCTTAGCATAACCCCTTGAAAGAGTTCCCGCACTGAGGGATGGGAGAGATGGTCTCTCTGTTCCAGCAAAAGTTGCTACTAGAAGGGATGTAGTTCTGCAACAATTGGTCTTGACTCTGGCTTTCGCTCCTCTCACTAACGTTCGAGCTGCTTTTTCCGCTCTTCCCATGGGCATTTTTTAGCTTTTCCTTCAGCATCGGTTCCTCGCTTCCACTTAAACCCAGGTTAACTGATTAAACTGCTAATCGTAACTCTCCAGTGGGTGGGCTACTCTTACCTCCTGCCCTACCTACTACTAACACTACTGCTACTTCAACTCGATCGCTCTTTGGCTATTAGAATAGGCTTATTCAGTCCAAAATGCCCTATAGAAGGAATCGAACAAAGAAAGTCTTTTCAGATCTATAAGCTGTGGGCAATGAAGTAGAGTTTTGTTTTCACTCGGCTTGATTCGTGCCGGACTAACCCCTGTTATCCCCTGATCCAAGGGGAGTTGCTGATTTAAGTCTTTCCATCCTTGATGGTGTGCTTCCTCCTCTTCTTATTTGCAGAAGTCTCAATGATTGGAGCTACGACATCAACCTTTGGATAGCTCATGATGGGGGATACTTGGTTGTTCTGGCCTTGCCATCGAAAGCACACTTTTTCCTCGAGAAAGGCCCTTCCTTCTTATTTAGAATCTCGCTTCTGCTGTTGTTGCTGCTGTTAACGGATTTCTTGCTTTCGCTATACGCCCCTCCGCTTCACTCACTATCTTTAGAGCGGCACTCCGGATGTAATCGAGGTTTATCAAGTATAGAATCAGAAAATAGGCAGCTAATTCATCCGCATCTGTTGAAGTCAGTCCTGCTTCAAGTGTCCTAAGATCCGGAAGAAGTAGATTGGTTTGTTCACCGTTCAGGGGTGGAAGATTCAACATTAACTGATTGAGCCACAGCAACAACAGCTATAGGATTTGAACCTTTAGGTTAAGCCGGTACCACACCACGAAAGCTCGAAGGTACGTCCTTTCCCCTTAGATCAGTAGATAAAGGAAATTGAATCTGCTGCACATAGTAGAAAATGCTGCTAAAATAGAGATCAATTACATCGAGCCTTGAGTAAGGCCATTGAGCAAGGATATCAAAACAAACAAAAGAAAAGGGAACACGAAAAGATAAAACGATTTCCTCTTCTTAAGATAGGGCGCATTTAAATACACCCACTCGCCAGAGCGGAGGGGATTCTTTCTAAGGGAAACCAAAGCCCTTACTACAACGAGGTTCGATGTAATTGATCTGGCTATCTTTCAACAAGGCTCGATGTAATTGACCTAATGCCTTGACCCATCGGGAGCTATAAAAATGCCGATATCAGCCCCAAAAAAGGTGATTGATCAAGAAGGTCGTTCAAACCGAGTCGATGTAGGAACTTCGAAACTCCACTTCTTCCTCATCTTATTATTACTTATATTATTGCACACTTTCCAGGAACTTGGGGGATAGCTATACTTGTTAAGCAAAGCAGGAAGGTTCGATGTAATTGACGTAGCGTAGAACACATTTTCTTTTCCTTCACTTCGCTTCGTTCGTACACTGCGCTTAGCTTCGTTTTCCACAGAAATTTCACGAATCCCTGCCCCCAGTCATTGGTAAACGACGTGGCTACCATCATAGGCGAAGGCTCGATATAATTGACCTCAAACCTATTCGCTCCTATCCAACAACGTATTATTTCTTATGGACCGCCTAGAAGCACTGATAAGAATAGCTCTGGCCTTCCGATCGTTCGCTCCTTAGTAAGGGTAAACTACTAGTCCTCAGTTATAACTGGCAGTCCTATTATTTTATTCCTGTTAGCCCTCTTTTCCTTTTGAGCTCTTTGACTTCACTTCGCTTCGCTTCGTTCGTTGGGAGAAGGCGCGATGATAATTGCCCTAGGGAGCAGCCTTTAGAGTCGAGTCTTCAAGAACCATTAGCGTAGTTTCAATAATCTCTTGTTGGTTGAAGAAGCTGGTAGAGAGTGATGCCTTCTAGTCAAGATATAAGTGAAATGGGAAGGGAACGAACGAAGCGAAGCGAAGTGAAGTCATAAAGAAAGGCATTTTTTGAGTAATAAATAAAGCATAGGATCCAAGACTGATCCGAGAATTTGAGAGATCGAAGAATAGCCTTTTTAGCATTCCTAGTTAAAGAGAAAGGTAGTCAAAGTAAAAGAAAAAGGGTTTGACCATTTCAGGTCGTAGATGGCAGGTCACCTAACAGTGTCTTAGATTTTTTGCCTTTACCTTTCGGGTCTCACTAATCCCAGTTGGAAAAAAGCAATAGGAATCCGCGCCATTGGTACCATTCCTGCTTCTCTTGTTCCTACCTCTATAGGAAAAGAGGTTTTTCACAAAGATTGATTGGAAGACCCCATAGCTTGAGAATTCCCCAATCGTTGTTTGAACTAGCTATGCGCTAAAGAAGCCCTCCCTAACCTATAGCAAGAGTAGTGCTACTAAGCGAAGGCGATTTGTGAAGAGCCCTTTGAATAAGATCTCTTTCTATTACGAAATTTAGAAGTTCGCTTCTAGGTCGATTCGTACCGTCTTTCCTAAAGGTCATGCGGGACTACTAGCCTTCTTTACTCTCTTTATATCCCTTCTTATTAACTTATTAAGAAAGCATATAAAGAGAGTTTCTAGCAATAGAAGGCCTCTATGACTTCACTTCGCTTCGCTTCGTTCGTTGGGTCGACAAAGTTGAGCTCGAGCTAAAGCGAGAGGGAAGAAGGGAAAAATCAGTAATTCAGTATAGACGGGGGTATTCCTACCTTTCTGAGCACGCCTTTAAAGCCAGCAAATGGGACCTGATATCTACGACCGACCGCCGTTGCGCGAGTAGGCTCTTTTTTTGGCTGAGGTCAATTATATCGAGCCTGACTCGTCTGCAAAACAAATAGAAAAGTATAGACGAATCCGCTATTGCGAAAGACGGTGAAAGGGAAGACAAGAAAAAAAAGACCCACAGCAATGAATTCGATGATACGGGAACGACCACGGTTTCATCATTCCACAGGGAGCCCCACCTAAAGTTTCTCGGTTCTCACACAGTGTTCCCATTCGGGAATTGAGTCTTTCATCGCGAGGTAGGCTTTCGTATCACCGATAGGTCTTTTGCTCCTGTTATTGGTTCAACGGGGGCTTCCAAATGACGAAACCACTGTAACGGAGCCGCTTTCCGAACTGGTGTACCATTCGTCTCTATTACGGAGGCGAGCGTTGACCAAGCACTTTTTTCGAAGAAAAAGTAATCTGTCCCATCACGGACGAAGTCTCTATCTTTCTCCAGCCAGAGATTGAAATCGCAGACGAGGGTCGATGTAATTGAGCTTTCAGTGAGGGCTAAATGTTGATCTCCGCCTACGAAAAAACAAACCAGTAGTAAGCTGCTAACCTTCCTGCCCGCGCTGTACCCACATACTATGATTATGAATAAAAGGCCCTAGCCAACCCCAGTCAAGGGTAGGCGGAAGAAGGGGTATTCTACTCAAAGACCGGTCGGAAAGGGAAAATTCTATCCTGCTTGATTGATCACCGGCGTCGAATGCAATCTTTTAATAAATTCCTCGATTACCGGCATAGAATGGATGAGCGCTTATGAGTTCCCACTATCGAATCATCTCATTTCCTATTCCGGGCATTGAAAGCGGAAATAAAAAGACATCAAGGCCTAAGTAAGACCAATGATGATATTCTCTTAAAATAGCAAGAATATCTGGTGGAGGACTCTGCACCCAGTAAGGTCGACACAGTCAGTCAGGAAGATGCTTTACCACGGTTTTGTAATTTTCTTTTATTCCCCCGTTTAGTCACCAAAAAAGTAGAAAAGGAAGAAAGAAAAGACAGGTTTGCGGAGTAACTCGAACCTACTCTCAGTAGTGACACTACACACTTTCCCAATCTCGGAAATTAAATCGGACTTGCCGACGAATCCATTGATCAAATTGGGGCAGATTTCTTAGTCAGCTCAGAAAGAAAACTGTCATTTCTTCTAATGATCGATAACTCAGGAGCATAAACTTCCACTTACAAGGAAATCAAAGCGCGACCTCGTGAACCCGCCTAAATCTCCCTCAGGCATATCTAGTCAAGAAAAGCGCTTACTCCTCCCTTCGTACTAAATCGGAGTGGTATATCTCGTGAAGTTCTTTCCTAATGTCGATTGAGATGGGTCTCTCGAGGATTGAGTATATGGGGCTTCTATGCCAGCCTTTCGAGTTCCTTCCTTGTGATCGATGGCTCAACTAAACGCGTTTAGTAACAATGGTGCAGGAGAGCCCCTGGCTAGAAACCCGAGTTTCCATTCGAAGCGCTTTCTCGGTCCTAATCTTTATTGGTCCAAATCTGGTAAATTGCCTTGCCCAAAAGAGCCGATCTCCTGGCACGACTGGGAAATGAGCTTGCCCATGCCGAAAGCGGTTAGTTTCGGACCTCTGTACCCGCTTTAGCTTGCCTTCCTTTTCTCGATGACCCAACCGGTAATTCGAAAGGGTGCCTCTCTCCTCCAGTTTGAGTTTATCTGGTTGAGGAGAAATATAGACCCCCCAGGGGGATAACTTTGTCAAGGGTGAAACCCCTAACACTAAGAATCTGGTTCCCCAACCCTCTAAATAAGATTCCGATCTTCGAAAGCGACCCCTCGATAGAGAGTTCCTTTGCGAGCTGAGAACTGGACCCGCTCTTCTGGTACTTGCAAACTTGACTCTCAAGTGCTCAAGCGAGGACTCTGATCTTCCCTTTCTCTGGCTCCTGATATCAACTTCTAATATGCCATTTCTGAAGTCACTCGATCGAGGAAGTAAATCACCCAGAGGCATATCTAGGTGTCAAAAGCGCGCCTCCTTTCTCAGTCCAGGGGCTAGGTCTGTCGTTCTAGGTTAGGTAAAACGAGCTCAACCCTCTTAATCTCGTAAATCCCCCGTAGGCATAGCTAGTGATCTCGCTCGAGGCTAATCATTGCTCAAGAGCCCAAGGTCAAATCGAGGTATATTTCTTCCCCCTTCCTAAAGACTCCTCGGGCATATCTAGGAAAGGGAAATGCGCTTTCTTTCCCCCTCGTGTCAGATTTGTCAAAAAGGAGATATGGTGGTTTATCTGGATCGGACCTTTATATATGAAAAACTGTACTTCTTTCCCCCTCGTGGATGAATGATCATAAAACTCTGTCTCGTGGGCATAGAAATCTGGGGGTGGAAATCTGTGGTCTGTTTCCTAACCTGGCTCAAGGACTGGGAAATTCGAAGATCTCGGACCTTCTTTCTTGACTTCCTTGTCTACCCCAGATTAGATCTCGGCTTCTACCATCTTTCCTGGTCATACGTGGAACTTCAAATCCATCTTCCGAACCTCAATTACATCGACCCTTGCCCTTTCTTTCTGGCTTGTCTCCGAGTCCTGGGATCCCGGCTCTTAGCATATTTGGTATTGGTATCTCGGAACTCAACCCCAGCCAGGTCCTTGCTTTTACTCACCCAAATGGGAAACTTCAAGCGAAAGCCCAGATCCTGAAGTTTAGAGCAGGAAAACTCGAAAGCCTTCTTCCGAACTCGAAATCCACTCTTGACTGGTCAATTTCGAATCGCTTTTCGATCTCCTATTTGACCCGATCTTCTGGTACTGGATCTCTTGTCCGTCCTCTCTCTTCCTAAAGTAATATCTCGTGAAATGACTAGTCCTTTGCCCTGAACTCAAGATGGGAGGAGTGGGTCGGTAAGAGTTCGCCCTAATCTCTCGTCAAGTCGACTATATAAGATGTAGTTGGATTGGGGTTCGCCTAAGCCCTTTTGTCTGTTCCTTACGCGTAACTCTAAATATGTTGGGGTGGGGTAAGAGTTGGGCGAAGAAGTGGAAGAGTTGGTTAGCTTCTCCTACTGTCGAAAGATTCATATCTTAGTCGCCCAATTGGGAAACCCTCTGTCTGAGGATGGTTTCAAGGGAGCTCACTCGAGGCAAGTGGAATTTCTCCCTCTGTAAGCGTTGGCCCTGAGAAGTCCTGGCACGCGCTAATATAATATGTTGGATCTTTCATTCTTCGAGGACACATCTGTAAAGCGCTCATACCAACTGTCCCCAAAAGTGGTCTATTCAAAACTTGAGTTTGGAGTTCCTTGCTTGTGATCCATCATTGGGAAATCTCTCGTCAGTTCTCTGGTAATAAATCTCGGGTTCGTAATCTGGGGTCTGTTTCCTAAGCATATATGGCTTTCCTTCTTCGGATCGAGGACTGGGAGCTGGGCAATCCAATGAGTTAGGCTGGGGATCTGGTTGTCAGACCCATAGAAAGAATTTCCCAACCCCGGATATCGATCCCTCGATGGCATATATGAAAACCAGTAGTTTTTTGGTCCTTGCTTTTGATCGCTCGTCGGTAAGATCCGAAGTCAGTGTCTTGGTTGTCGATTTACTAGATGCCAATCTGTATCCGCCGCTGGGTACCTCTTTCTTCCTTGGCAAAGGACTGTAAATCCCTTTCCCAAAGTGGTTTGTTTCCGACGCCCGAGGTACGAGCCTTGCGCTCTAGCTTTCAGTTCTTGTCCTAGAATTCGAGGAGTATCAAAATGCTAACTAGATCAGGTACTGGACTTGAAAGTGCTCAAGCGAGCTGCCCAGGCTTACTCTGATCTGCCCTTTCTCGGGTATTCCAACTCATCTTATTAAATATGCGTATGCGATTTCTGAAGTCACTCGAGTAATAAATTACCTCTTCTCTATTCGCGAGTGATAGCTAGGGAGAGTCCTGTGCCCAGTCAGTCTTCTTCGTTAGATCTGTTTCGATTGGTCAAAGCGGTAAGGGCAGGAGTTCACCCATTTTCTCAAGATCCTGACGCATAACTATCCAACTATGTTGGTTGATGCTGTCCTCGAAACCCAACCTCGAAAAGAATTCCAAATCCGAAAGGCGACTTCTGTCCCCCTTGCTTGTGATCCATCGTAATTGGAAACTAAACACGTTTTCCGCATACGCATAGAAGGGGGTGGATTTCAGGAGCTGAGATTTCGACGCTTGTCTTCCTTTGGCAAACATTCTTAGCGCTCGAAGAACTGGAATTTGACTTCCTTGGCCAGTTTCGGACCTTGGTAAAAGATCTTCTCGCTTTCCTGCCTTTGATCGCTCGTAATTCGAAACCCCAGTTTGAGTTTATCTGGTTGAGGAGAAATATAGAACTCCAAGGGTATTCCTTTCGCTCTGTATTCCAACTACGGATTAGAAATCAACTCTATTCTAATATGCCATTTCTGAAGTCACTCGATCGAGGAATTCCCAGTTCAGTTGGTTGGGAAGATCCTAGCTTTGCTAGAACCCGCTCTTAGCTCTTTATCGAT